CAGGCTCAGCGATGAGTCCAGGAGAACTCCCAGACTGCGAACCTGCGCCTTCAGGGGGAGTGTGACCCCGTCCAGCAATCAAGAGCATTCTCAGTTCTGAGCTGTAACCTATAGAGACTTATATCATTACACATGTAGTTTCAGCACCCAGTGATAAATAGAAGCGGGTCAAAGGAAATTTTTCATGAACATCCCTCATGCATTTAAATGACACTTCTGATGCTTCATGCCACAACTTCTATTCAGCATCAACAGATAAGGGAGGACTGTAGAATTGGATGGCGATCTTGTGAATTATATTAATTGCAAAAGTTAAACGGATCGAAGAGAAATGCATGAACTCTTGTTTTAAGAAATTGGTTTTCTTTAAGTTATCATACGAATCAATACAACAGAATGTGTGTGCAATTATGGGGTGAAATATCCAAGCAACTGAGACTTCCTTACCCCAATGAAAGGGATGAACTTCTGGTAAGAATCTTCATCTTGGCTGAAGGCAAAGAAAACAGAAATTAAACTCCAACAGACAGGAAAGAATATATGTAGAAGAGCAGGGCTTCTCTTTTCTTTTCCACTTGCTTCAAAAAACGAATGAAGCTATAGCTAAAAACCAATATACTGAGGTTTATGTGTTCAGCCTAACCACCTCTTTCACATGCTGCAGCAGGAAAGCTGTTAGGGAATGCCATTGTGGAGAGTTCAGAGAGGAACATATCACTCCTTTGAAACAATCCAAGGCAGGAAATGACTTCAGTTCTGCTGACAAAACTGGCTTTAAACCACTGACAAAACCCAGGAACTTCAAGTTTGAAAACTCTGATGGGTTTCTGTGGAATAGTAAAAAATTACAGTGTCTTTTCAAAAAACATGTCATGATGATTGTAAAGATATGTTAAAGGGGATGCCCACATTAAATTTTAATCAACGTAGATGCTATCAATATACTATACTATACTATAATAATAATAATAATAATAATAATAATAATAATAATAATACCAGTCAAGGTGGTCCCAGTGGTGATTGGCACACTGGGTGCAGTGCCTAAAGACCTTGGACTGCACTTAAACACAATCAGCACTAACAAAAATACCATCTGTCAGCTGCAAAAGGCCACCCTACTACTCGTATCTGCATGCATTATTCGCTGATACCTCAAATAGTCCTAGACACTTGGGAAGACTTTCTGTATATATTTCAGATTTCAATATTAATGTCAAAAATACACAGTATGATTTTACATAGGATTTGTGCTACTTTAGAACAGTAAAGACAAATATCACTTAAGTAAAATAAACATTAAATATTAAATAACCAGGGAATATTGGATCCAATGTGTGATCCAAGAGAACAGCCAGCATAGTGATCTTGTTTGCTGTGTACTAATCTTGTTGAGTTTCTAATAATAATAATATTATTAATAATAATTTTATTTATTATTCGCTTCTCCTTTCAGCTCGTATATTATACTATGCAAAGCTCACAGACATGTAGCCTATGACAGAGAAATGAAATAGGAGCTTACAATTTGTGTTTGCATGTCAGCATGGCCTCAGCCACAGGCAACTGATGTGTCACATTTGCTCCGTTTATGTACTGCATGATCCGGCCAACCACATCCAAGGAATCTGAGGAATAATAATAATAATAATAATAATAATAATAATAATAATAATAATATTGTCAAAGGCTTTCATGGCTGGAATCACTAGGTTGCTGTGAGTTTTTGGGGCTGTATAGCCATGTTCCAGAAGCATTCTCCCCTGATGTTTCGCCCACATCTATGGCAGGCATCCTCAGAGGTTGTGAGGTCTGTTGGAAACTGGGCAAATGAGGTCTACATATCTATTACTGCTTTTTAAAAATTTATTGTGTATATTGTTTATATGCTTATATGTTTTATACTTTAATGTTATGTTGTTTATTTTATTGCAATGTGTATTTTATTTTATTGTAATTTGTTGTTCGGGCTTGGCCCTATGTAAGCCGCTCAGAGTCCCCGTTGGGGGAGATGGTGGCGGGGTATAAATAAAGATGATTATTATTATTATTATTATTATTATTATTATTATTATTATTATTATTATTATTATTATGGAATGTCCAGGGTGGGAGAAAAAACTCTTGTCTTCAGGCAAGTGTGAATGCTGCAATTGGCCACCTTGATTAGATCTGAATGGCCTTGCAGCTTCAAAGCCTGGCTGCTTCCTGCCCAGAGGAATCCTTTGTTGGGAGGTGTTAGCTGACCCTGATTGTTTCCAACAGACTTCACAACCTCTAAGGATGCCTGCTATAGAGAATGCTTCTGGAACATGGCCATACAGCCCGGAAAACTCACAGCAACCCAATAATAATATATCCCACAGGCAATGTCATTGTTGTTATTAATGTTATTTCTATGCCACCTTTTTCCCCATGAGGACTCAAGGCGGCCAACAACCTTATGTTGCAGAAAAACACTGAACCATTGGTTTTACTAAGGTCAGATGGATGGAGAATGTTACAAATTCTGAGATCTCCATTAGGTATTGGGATCTAGACCAAGACAAAACAAGTATCAAACCAAGATATTGGTGAAGAAGACAATCAGAGAAGAAAGCACTATCAACAATGAAATATGGGTGGTCATGGATGTGGGAAGCATTACTGCCAACATATTACTGTCTCTCTGCTATCACTGTTTATTTATTTATTTATTTACGACATTTATATGCCGCCCTTCTCACCCTGAAGGGGACTCAGAGCGGCTTACAAGGTATATATTACATACAATATATTATACTATTAGCATAGTACAATATTGCTATATTGCACCAATACTACATCATAATATTATTAGTAATATTACATGTAATATATATATAATTATAATATCATATTATTATTAATATTATTATATTGCATTACATTATAGTATAATATTATACTATCTCATATCATATCCCTAAACTATAACCTAGTTTGACCATGTGCATTTTGTTGCTGCTTCAAATTAGAAGTTCCAATTTCAAGTTCCAAGGAACAGTGTCCGTGGCCTACTTGCACTGCTAGTTCTAGTGTATGTGATTGCTTTGGAGTTTCAAGCAGGGCCGTAGTCAGAAATTTTTTTTGGAGAGGGTTGAAAATTGGGGGGGGGGGGGGGGGTCACGTTGAAGCAAAGAGCACAGCAGGGGGCAAAGCAGCCTTCAATAGCCTGCAGCTCCGCCCCTGTCAACCACCTCCACCAAATCTGGCAGGTGCTCTTACTGCCTATTACAGGGAAAACCAGCTGATCCCCAACCCATCTGAAACACAGACATATGCCTTTCACCTTAAGAACAGACAATCATCCCGAGCTCTGAGGATGACCTGGGAAGGAATCCCACTGGAGCATTGC